ATTTGGATAATCTTCGCCTAGCGATTGCTTAGAAATGTGATTGAAGTCAACAATTCTAGACCGCGCAAAGCCGGGCAATAGTCGCTAGTATTTATATACAATATATGCATGTATGTGTGTGTGTGTGTGTGTGTGTTTAAGGCCAACAAATATGCGGGCAGCAGACAGTTTTCTAGTTGATTTTTTGCAATCTGCAGTTTTCTGTTGCTTTGTATGAAACGTCGGAAATGTTGCTACAAGACCCAAACCCCCAATCAAATGCTCAAATGCTAAACCCAATCTCAATTCTAGTCGAGCTTCAGCTAACAGTTCCAGCTCCAACACCAGCTCCAGTTCCAGTTCCCGTTCGGTCCTCTGTCTGGAGCTGAAGCTGCACCCGAGACTCAAACCAAGCAGCTACACTTGACTGCAGCAGCAACAGCGGCAGCAGCAGCAGCAGTAGTTGGGGTCGGTGCCTTTGCCGTTACCTCTGTCTCCACCTCAGCCTCTGGCTGCTGTCTGGACACGTCGTCTCCTGCCTTATGTGTGTGTCTGTGTGTGTGTGTCCTTCAGCTGAGCAACACCTCGCGACGCATTCGTGGCATGTGGCATGTGGCAGCAACCACCACCGCGTTTAATCAGGGACAGCAGCAGCAGCCGCCGGCCGCCTCTTCTTCTTGACCATCAGCCTTTATTGTTGTCGCTGCTGACGTCGCGTCGCTGCCTGCGTCGCTGTTGTTGTTTAGTTTTCTTTGTCCCTACGTACATATTTTTGGCTGTTTTTGGTGGCTCGAGCATTTCAATATTTGCACAGACACAGCGAGAGCAGCCACCACCCATCAGTGCTTAGCGGTTGCCATTATTTCCTGCGCTGTGTCTGCTGCTGGTCCTCACTTGCCACCAGCTGCTCCAGCTCTTAACTCCAGCTTCAGCTTCACCTCCAACTCCTGCTACAACTCGAACTCCTTCTCCATTTACTTCTATCATATATCATATTCAGGCGCAACACCTTGCTGCCCTTGCCACGCCTCCCGTTCGATTTACTTTTGCACTTTTTTTATGCATTTTCCATTATTTTCGTATTTCAATTTTCAATTTACCAATTTGTAGAGTTTTTTTGCTGTTGTTGGTTACTTGGCAATTTATTAAGCGGTTTCTCGCTTTAAGCTTAAATTTGGGCACTCTTGTGCAACATGTGGCATGCTGCCTGACTATGCCTTAGTTGCGTGTGTGCCGAAACACTTAACAAATCTTCAAGCAATAAACGCCGCACACAGATGCACAGAGAGAGTGGGAGAGATACGTGCAGCAGGCGAGCAACTGCAGCGCCTTGATGCCTGCTGCAATAAACATGCAGCAAGTGGCAAGACGTCGCACAGCACAAATCTGCATGTGCCACACACACACGCACAGAGAGAAGGACTCGGCTTGCTCCTTTGCTGCAGACAACAAATTTGTAAGCCAACACACAGCCAATTAACCAAGAAGAAGAAGCTGCAGCAGCCTGTGCTTGGCCACTGACCATTGGCCTTGCAGCACGCTTGACTTGTGTGTGTGTGTGTGGCATGTGGCAAGAGCTGTAGCAGTTGGAATCATTTTTCAAAAGGCCAAGCCAATGGACACTTGACTGAGCATTTGCTTAGCTTCCACTTGGGAGCTGCCTCCTTCTCTTCCTAGCTACCTAGCTCGCTCCCACTTTGTCCTGCTGTCTCTGTCGCTTTGTGGCAATTGTGGTGCAATTGTGTGTCAAGGTCGTCTGCGGCTGCTACTGCTGCTCCAGCTCTTGCTGCTACTTCTGTTTCCTGCTCCAAGACGATGTGAACAATAAGTTCTTCAGCTCTGCCCCACTCTGGTTGCTCGCTCACTCGCTCGCTCGCTCTCTCTCTCCCTTCCTCACACTCTGTGTCAAATGCTCTGGACTTAACTGTATTGTGTGTATGGCAAGTGTATTGTGTAGCAAGCTCTGCATGTTTGTGTGTATGTGTGTGTGGGGTTTGAGCTGCTGTCTGGTCTGGCACTTTGCCGTCGACATTCTTGGGGAATACCTTTTAGCACAACTCAGACTTGTCTGATTGCCTAGACTCTCTCTCAGTGTGTGTGTGGGTGTGTGTGTGTGCTACTTATGGCTTGCTGTTGTTGTTGCTCCTGCTGCTGCTGCTGGCTTTGTTCACATTTATTTTGCCACCTCCTTCGCCGCCTGCTGCTGCTCCTTCGCCTTCATTTGCTCTGCCTCAATTTTTGCTCTCGAAAATTGTGTGAAAATTGTTTTTCTGTTGTCTTGTAGTTGTTGTTGTTGTTGCTGGTTGTTGTTGCTGTTGTTGTTGCTTGTTGAGTGGCCTTTTGGCTTTTTGTTTAAGATTCTGTGGTTTGTGCATTTGTAAATAATCTTGTTTTACAACGCATCAAGCCTCGTAGACCAGCAGCCGGACAATTCCGGTCAACATGTTGAAGGAAAAGGCTGTGTGTGTGGGTGTGTGTGGGCGTGGCAGCCAACCGGATGGCTACATAATTTATGTGTGAAAAGTAGCTCTTACTCTTTCTCCACGTGTGAATGTGTGTGTCTGTGTGTTTATTTGATTTAGGCTTAAGAATTTCTACCTAAGGATACGTGTGTGTGCGTGTGGCAACTTGAGTCAATTATGTTGCAAATATATCAGGTTAACAAATTAAATGCTCTTTGCCTGCCACACAAAACTGATTGGCTTTAAATAAACACTTTAATTGCTTAATTTTTGGTTACATTGAAAGGCAGTGAGCAGTTGAAAGGAGGAGCAGATGGAGGAGCAGTCGCCAGGACTTGTCTTTCATATTTTGCAGATGATTATGGGTGGATTATTTAAGCAACTGAATAGATGACGCAACTGTTTAATCAATGGGAATTAACAAAGAGCTGAAAGATGATGAAAATTAAATAGAAAATTATGGAATAGAATAACGAAAATAATTTAAATAATATGAAATTATAGAATCAAGTGAAAGATAAATAACGGAAAGTGAAAGTGAAACTGAACTAAAAGAGAATTTGCTTTTCTTATCGTATCTTTCTCTACCTCTCAGATTTGACGAAGACTAAATATTTATCTAGAGCTTAAAAAATGTCTGCTGGTAGAGATTTATTTAATAGATATATAATATAAACGTAGTATATAAATTTCACATGTTTTTTGCGCTTTTTTCATTGGGTTTTAAGGATGTGTAAAGAATGTTGATTGAGAAATCTGGAAAATTTACTTTTATATATTTATTATTAATTGATTTTTAATTTGTAACCATACTTAACTGACTCATCAAAGCGTTTATTGCTTAGACTCAAAACATATCTTAAAGCTTTTCAATACAGTTTATGATCTCAGACTTGGGGTAAAACACACAAATTTTACCTACGAATTTCTCCTTAGAGCTAATAAAACTGGAGAGAGCTTCTGCATATTTACAAATACTAAATATGCGCTTAATTTGTTCTTTTTTATATAAATTATATTATTATATATTTAGTATATTATAGTATACAATAATATTATATTATTGTATAGTATATTATAGCACATATCAGTTGTTGCATAACATAACAAATATTTGGCATTAATGATACATAGATGGCGCTAGCTGGCACGTCACACACTTGCCATCCACAAGTACCAAAGGTTGTTGTCTACGCTAAATGCATTGCTTATATTTTCTTTATCACATGCACAAACCAATGAGTCAGCGCATGCGTTCCACACGAACTCAAATTCGATTCAGCTGTTATATAAAATATATATATATTTTGTATATATATGAATGTTTGTATACCACTTGATATCTGTAGCATCAGTAGATCATAAAAAAATGTTCGTTATGTTACTATCGCGGCCTTGAGTAAACATGTCTAGACAAATGTTTACATATATTTGGGACTAGTAAACAAATGCCTTCTTATCAGCGAGATTCCAATACATAAAATTTATCAATATTTCCCTCCATTCTATGAGCAATGCCTTCGCGCGAAGCGCTGAGCAACTCATGCACGTCTTTCGAAGCGATTCCAAAGTACAAAACAAAATCAAATGGGCATTACGTAGTTTCCAAGCAGAGTTATTTAGACGCCGTCAATAATGTATATACAAGCTGAATGATAAGAAGTTATCAGTAAGTATGTAGAGTAAGACATAGAGAGAGAGGGAGACGCAGCAGAGAGAGCCTAAGAGATTCCTCGACTGATCCGCGGATACACGAAAATCATTGAGACACATACATACATACATATATATACACGTGCACACTTTTATATATACATATTTAAAGATAGAAACGTATATTAAGCATAAGAAATCCATTGGTAACCATAAAAATCGACCTTATCGCAGACATGTTTTACCGCTTATCAGCTAAGGTTGAGTGAAGCGCTCAAAAATCAAGCGATTTCTGTCTTTGATTCAGTTGAGTTTTAGCCACAGTCTAGAGCGGTATATATATTCTTGACAAGTGTAAAAAAATAGCTATATAAACGGATATTAGAATTGAAAAAAAAAAAATTCTTGGAAACATCATTTAAAAAACTAAAATAAGAGTTTAGAATTGATGAACAATAAATCGAAAAAACATAATTTATATTAAATAAAATTCAGACATAAATTATAAAATATAATGTATAACACATATTTTAAAGCAAAATAAATCTAACTCGATTCGGAACTAGCTAAGTGACACATAAATAATTAAATACACATGTTCCTTTTTAACAACTTAAAAATTTATTTAAAAATAGAATAAAAATTGTATTTATATTTTTATATATTCATAAAGAAAATATAATTTTAAATACTATGCTATCTGTATTAAAGTGTAAAAAATATTTAAAATAATAATTATAAATTAAAAACTGTATAAATAATAAACTCATATTAATCATAATTAATTAGTATATATACTATGTACAATAATCAATAATCCAAAAGACTCAACTTTATGATTTTATAAAAGTGTGAAGCAGCCTCTAAGAACCAAAAAAAAGACAAATTATAATATATATAAATATATATAATATATTTATATACACATATATAGCGCTATATAATCGCCTGACTGATAAGTCGCCGCTTAGTGCACGCAAAACAAAATAGAAATCAAGACGCATTGCAACTTTTGAACTCGTCGCTGCGATGATTTCCCATACAGTGAGGTGAGCACTAAAGGAATTGAACATGTGCACAGATAACCGAATGCTAATACTCTCACTCACACTCACACTATCCCTCTCTATCCATCTATAGAGTATTTAAGCTGATGTATATCGTGGCTGGCATACTGATTAGCAATGAGGAAATCTGCGATACAGTTGATCGCATACAAATTGCACCACGCGTCGAAATGAAGAACGAGCTGGAGCATCGAGGATCGCGACGTGGTGCGCTCAAGGAAGATAGCGATTCGCCCAAGTCGAAGCGTCGGCGCAAAGTCAGCGTCACGGGTCTGGCGGGTGGCGTGGTGCGTGGGGTCACCAGCAAGGTGACCAGCCAGGTGACCAGTCGCATGGGCAATCGCTGCAGCTGGCTGAACGATTTGCCACTTATCGTGGCACAGTGGCGCAAGCTGGCGCTCAGCTTTACCGTCTGGACCATACCCAACTGGCTGCTCGAATACACGTCCAGCTATATCAGCCGAAAGTTCTTTATAAACAGCGACTGTGATATGATCTATAAATAGTTCGAGGCGCCTAAAAACTCTTAAGCTTAACTGTGTATGCCCTAGAATTGGTTATTGTGAATACTTAACGAACTGTATAACACCTTAGGGCAGACAACTTGCCGAATATATATAGTCTTTAGCCTATCGGAACTAGACTCTGCGTGCAGCTAAGCTGTTAAAACTTCTTACAGTTGCTGCATTTGGCTGCCAGCGAAACATATATAAAAACAGATCGAATCGATTAGCTAGATCATATACTTGTCATTTATGGTCGCAAATTTAGATCTTATATGAGCAACTGTTATGTTAATCGAAATTTCTGAGTCAAACTTGGCAGTTGTGAGTCTAAGTAAGCTTCAAGTTTCCTGATTTAAATTTATTCAAATCGGACTACTCCATCATATAGCTGTCATAGTAATAATTGCTTGCAAGTTTAGATCATGATTGCAAATTAGTTTTGCTTTTAAGTAAACCTTAAAATAAGTGACAGAAAAAAGATTTTTCTTTTAAAATTTGTGAAATCAACTAAAATCGAGCTTCTATGTTCAGTTTTGATAAGGATTATTATTAGAACATTTAATATTTGCTGAAACTAATTTTTGTCATTGAAGCGTTACTCGAAAATATATATACTAAAACAGAAATATTTAAAAATATCATTTTCTGAGTTCTATTTAAGATAAATCTATGAACTATCTTCATGTAAAAATGTTTTAATACATGATCTAAAATGAAATTTAGTACTATTATGAAAAGGTTTTCTTAACATATGATTCAGATATATTGGAAATCGATTATTCGACCGCTCTTCAGCCTATTCTTTAGATCAGATTTCGGCATGCTAAATATAGCTTTCAATTTCCACAATAGTCCCACTTAAAGCCACTTAAAACTTGACTAAGACACAAAGAGAAGTGAAATTTATTTAAGTTTTTAGAGCTAAGATGCAATATTTAGGCATAAGTTGAAATAAAGTTAGTATTTGCCAAACATTTAGATATCGATTTATATATATATATATATAGATTAATCTTCTTTAATTTCTGGTATATATAGCTTATGGTCCCAACAACGTTTCCTCCTCGATTCGCATCACACTCTTCTCGCTCTCTAATCACCCTCGGCTATATAGTTCTCGGTAGCATCTGGACTATTGCCGCCGCCTGCTCCAGCGGCACGCACGTTCAGGCTATTGTGCAGCATATTTGCTATGCTGTCCACATCGAGATTCTCATCCGTGGCCGAGATCTTGCGCAGCGCAGCGCACACGATGCTGAGATCACCTTTGAGCTCGCTGACCACTGCGGTTATCTTCTGTGCATTGGACAGCACCTCAACGCTGCTCGTGTAAGGATTATAGCGTACGCCAAAGGGACGCTGAATGCTCTCGGCAAAGGCGCTAACAACGAGGAGGAAGTTGAACAAAGAAGGGAAGAAAATATAGCCAAAGAAAAGTCGTATGCCTACCGCATTTGCTCCTTGGCCTCCTCAAAGGAATCCGTATAGTAATAGGCATTCTGATAGGATGTAATGATGCACTCCTCCTTGCAAGTTACTTCCGGATCAAACTTCTTAATCTTGTCGTGTGCCGTTATAGCATGCTGCAGCTCAGCCACCGAGCTGAGCAGGCCAGCTCCAAAGACCTTAAAACTGCCTTCCGACTGCTTGCACAGGCCGAACTCCACGGTGAAAAAGTAAAGCTGTGAAAGAGATTGACAGAGCATATATCTAACGGATATCGAGCAGGCATTCAATGTTGAACTAACCGTGGCTAACTTCTCAATATCCGCATCGCAAGCGCCCAGCGAAGCCAAGCCAATCTCCTGTGAGAACTGGGCAAAACTCGAGTTGGCCAACAAGGGCATATGACCCAAGAGTTCGTGACAGCAATCACTACAAATTGATAACACAATTAGCAAGACACACACACACACACTCGCACACACTTACGGCTCAGGTGTGTAGAAGGGATCGGAGGAGTGCCTGATGTACTGCGTGCAATGGAACACACGAAAGGCCAGGCCAGAGAGAAAGTCGCGCGGCGAGAGATAACCCGCAACGGGACGCAGCTGGAAGCCCGTTTTGCGCTTCAGATAGCTGCTCACATCCTGCAGCTGCGGCACATTGTCCTCCCGATAGCCACAGAACTTGACCAGCTCCGGCCAATTCTCCATGTACTCCGGCACCGCGTGCAGCAGATACAAGCGATGCAGCTCCAAGAAAACAGTGCCCCTAACAAACGCGCGCACAACAAAGTGTGCAAAACTTAAGCCGAAAACAATTGAAATTGAATTAAAATTGCACTTACCAAGTTTTTACCTCCTCCGGAGTATATTGCACCCGTGGAATGGGATTGCCACTGAGAGAGGGAGAGAGAGGGAGTGGGACAAGTGTGAAGTCAATTAGAAAGTTCACTTACTGCTTGAAGTTATTGGCTATGGCCGAGAACTGTTCGCGACGCTTGCGGTAAATGGGATCCTTGAAGCCAGGATGATCTGCATCCAGCTCGGAGCCATACATGAGCACGTTCTGCGCCTGATCCAAGTCAGATATCTTGCGTGGAAACCAAACCATGTCACCAAAGTCTGTTAAAGACATTTAAATAAAGATGGTATTTTGAATCTATATTAAATAGACTCTATAAACTATAAATTAAAAATTAAAATATTATTCTCTAATGAAAATTAATTGTAGCTGCAAGTCCTAAAGTTGGAGCTCAATTAACTTAATGACTGAAGCACAGTTGTTTGCTTTAGGCCACAATAAGTTCATGTCATAAAGAGAAGATTTTTTATTTAAAAGGTAAGTATATATTATTTAAAAATTTCATTCATATTTTATTTACATAGAATTTTCAAATGTAAAAATACAAAAATCATCATAAAGAATTTTTTTGTGCTCAAAAATTTATTTTGACACAGTTTATAGTTAACCAAGTTTACGCTTGGTCTAAGATAAAGAGTTAAGATGTTTACACTTTGATTCTCCACAAACCTTGAGTTAAGAATTTGAAACTAAGAGTCATAGCTTGAGACTATAGAAATTAATTTATGCACACAATTGAAACTATTTGGAAACACAGTTTTGGAGTCTCTGTGTTGGAGTCACAAGTTGAGAGATCAAACTGGGGCGTTACATATTTAGAATGGCAATTTTAGATGCACTAAGAGTTATCGTATGTTAGCTAAAGCATGGGCTCCATATAGTTTCAGTTCTAATTACGCAGTTTTAGAGTTTTAATGAAGCTGTCACTGCAGCAGATTCTGTGGTTCAAGCTCATGACTTCAGCTGCCTGATATAGACCGTTATGTTATAGACTATTATATAGTACCTAATTTATATTATATAGTATATAAAATAGTCAACTATATGAATTTCCAGAAAAATGCATTTTCAAGTTGCCATAGAAGACAGAGATAGAGTTTGAGCTGTATCAGTTTGTCAAAAGCTTTCTGAAGAATAAAATATCATTTGTGTGTCCTCTCAAGCTGTCATAGATAGATAGAAAGATGATAGAGGTACAGTATAGAATCTGAGCTGTATTAGTTCTCAAGTGATTTCTGATTTCACAATGTTAGAGGCAGTTGTAGAATGCAGTTTTCGTATCAAAGTTTTATATTTATATTTTGTTGAGTTGAAGAAGTTTTATGGCATTTAAATTAAACTTTTTTCTACCTAATATCCACATCAATATTCTAGCCCCATCCATGATGACTAATTGAAACAAATTTTAAACATTTTAAACATTTGATTAAGTATACGCCCCGTTGGCGAACCTTTCCCACTATTTTTATGCTACGTAAAGCTGAGCTAACTTACAGAATTCTATAAATAGTTACATATCTTTATTAAGAGTGCCCTAAAGTTATCCCAACTGGACTCTACTCAAATTCCCTCATCAGCAAATCTGCAATGCTATGCGATTCGCTACTCACCAAAGCTGGAGCAAGCGGACAGAGACGGTGCCCGGGCCAGGCTGTGCGCATTCACCGACGTATAGTTGACCGACGCAACCTCGCGATTGAGCATCTTCACCACCTGATCCAAGCGACGGGGATCGCATTCGACATCCACCAAGACATCCGCCTGATTGCTGCTCACCTCCAGCGGCGACAGCTCCAGGTGCAGCACATTGATGCCCAGCTCCTGGAAGACCTGCAGAGCGCGTGCCAAATTTCCCACTTGATTCTTGAGAGTGAACAAAATGGAGATGCGCTCGCCGGGCACATGCGAACGCTGCACTGCATCCGCGGCGCCAGTCTGCTTGTTGCTGGAGAACAAGAGAAAATTGTCGCCAGGTGCTGAGGCGTGTCGCGACAAACTGGCATGCGATGAGGACGACGACGTGGACGAGGGCGAGGATGAGTTGGAGTCCTTTTTGAGTGGAGTGTGCAGCGGGCTACCCTGCTTGACGGCCCACTCCTGCTCGCCGCTGCGATATAGCCAAAGGCCCAAAAGACTTTTGCCCGATGCACTCATATTCGATATATCTATACAGTTGTATATATCTTCTTATGTAATCAGTCCTAATCCAATGGATTTTAATGCACTTCTATTCACAAGCTTAGCACACGCGTCGTATGCGCAATGGAAACGCAACGGCAACTGCCAGATCCTGTCACACAGCCAGCGCCTTTTATAGCCAGCGCACACTCACACACAGAGTCACACACATACACATGGATAGATAGATAGCCACATACATATTCAATTGTATTTATCAAGTGTGCGTAGCGAGATAAATTTGTTCAAGGATATAAAAGCTACAAGTGAGTTTTTTTGTTTGTTTCTTTCTGCCTCACAGACTCCACCTACTGTGTGTATCTGTATCTGTGTGTGTGTATTTGTGTGTGGGTGTGGGTGTCACTCGTTTTGATTGGCCAAATCACGCTGAAATCAGGCTATAACGCATGACGTCATTTCACTTTCTAATCAGCGGCAGCAGCAACAAGTTTCAGCTCGAGTTAAACTTTTATTTTTATTTAATTTTACTTTTCTTTCATTTTTTAATGTTTTTTCTTTTGTGCTGTCAGCGCTTGACTTTCAAATGCGTTTGCTTAAATTATGCGGGCATGAAATACCGTAAAGGCAACAAATTGGGAAGTGAATTTACTGAGAATTGAGAACTCGTATAGAAAGGAGCAGGAATCTTTAGGCATTGCCATAGAGCAGCGAAAATTTATTTAAATTTCTAACTTGGAGTGTACTCATAGGAAAAAAATCAAAAATTGGAAAAGACAGAAACTAATTGAAATCTCTTTTTAGGAGGTTTTTAGTTGAGAGAACTATATAAGAAGAGAATAAGAATAGATAACTATAAATGGCTGATGAGAAACTAGTTCAGAAATTAATTTAGAATACATCGAAAAAATATTTAGACTTAAGAAAAAATTAGAGTATTGCGACATCTTGAAAACAAAGTATTAAATAATAATGCACTCTACATAAAAATATAATATTAAATAAAATATATAAATTAATAACTTTATAGAAAATAAATAAATACAAA